CATGATTATAAATTGAATTTATGAGCACCACAAGAAAAATATCTGTGGAATGTATGGTAACAGTCAGATTAAACAATGAGAAAATATCATGGCTCCTCAGGATTTGTTTGGTCAGCCTCATCATCACTTTGAATCTGCAGATGTAAAGAATCAAAAAGTAAGTACACAAAAACGATCCAGCTTACTCACTTGGAAGATACTGTTTTAAAATAGGGAATCCTTCTTACCTTTTCTCCCAATTGCCGAAGTCTATCCTTGTATTTATTAAGTTTTGTGTCTTGATCTGCCAAAAGTACTAACAAATCCTCTTGGTCCTTTCGTAATTTATCCAACTCAACCTCCAATTCTGAGCATCTTGCCATGTTGGTCTGTAAATTATGTGGTCATAAACTAAAATTCTCAGTAAACTGTAAATAAAGGTGCTACGAAATTGAATAAAACATACCTGAGGTGAAATGGCGAGTTTTTCAACATCACTGCTTAGCGCACTAGTAACACCTGTATTGGCTGCTGCACTAAGCAACCTGGTTTGGTCTCTTAGTTGAGAAACAGTAGCGCTTAGTTCCTCTATGTGCATCTAAAATAAATAATGATTTGAGCTGATATAAAAAATTAAGAGTTAATGAGCAAAGTAGGGATTTCTTCAAATTCAGTAAATACCTGGGAGTTCTGTCTTTCTGATTCATATTGATGCAACTGCCGACGCATTTCTTGTATTTGATTATCTTGAGATCGTATCAGTTCTTTATACTGTAAAAGTAAACTACTTTCAGTCGCGGTTAAGGTGAGTTCAGTGCCTCCATTGTGCAAACCAGCATCTTTAGGGGAGACCGCTTTGACAACCATTCCTAACAAAAACAAGCAAACCAAAAATTCATTATGACACCATATGCATATTTAAGCAAACTAAAATTACTCATATTTTATTTTTATTCTAGTGCTGCACCTTCAAGAGCTTTAAAAAGCTTGCAGAATTCATGGTCTAATAACACATGTTCTGCTGATGCAGCTTGGAGTTGTGGGTGCTTATGAGCTTTACTGTAAAGCTCATGTTTGGATACTTCCCCCAGTTTGTCCAGAAAAACATCCTGACCCACACGTTTGCTGACAAGTTGACACAAACTATCCTAGGGGAAAAAAAGGAATTAGGAACTAACTTAGGTCAAAAAAGAATGAGGGGTGGATGTATCTGATTACACCATGATAAACAAAACTTAAGTTTATAGAATACAATAATTTTGCACACACAAAAAAACTTACTCTTGTATAGCTAGGCACAGAGTCATCATTAAAAATAATGCAAATGCCCATCAGAAATGCACACAGACCCTGTAGTAGTTCTTCATGTTCTTGATGTTCATTTGCTCCTACCTAGAGCATGAAAAACAAGTACTAGAGGTAGTGCACAAAAAGTAGTGAAAGGCAAATATGCACCTAGAATAAAGGACAAGGCCATACATCTGTGCCTTTCTTGATAGAAACTAACTTGAGCTGATAGGTAGGGAATACATGATGGTGTGTTCAGTAAATCACGGACTGCTAATGGGCAATGTGATAACCACATTGCCAAAAGCATCAAGATGCCAACTTTGCTTTGAACATTACTTGACTGGAAAAGGAAAATGACAAAATAGGTGAAAAATTAAAGTAAATAATCAAAAAGAAATAAGTAATCCATCCTAACCTGCTGTAGAATTGTGCAGCACTGTTGTAGTAAAGTTACAGGTGGTGCACCTGGTCCAGTCGCCAGGGCCACCCGAAGCAGCTGTTCTTTTTGAGCTGGGTTCTCAACAAGAGCATGTGAAAGGGCAACAGCAGAGAGCCATGTTGATAACATATGACCTGATAGCAATCCTGCGACTAAGAGTTCGCCCGTAGTACCAGTCCCAACTAAAATCAGAAAATATTTTAGTGCTCCAATTTTTTAGCTATAAAACATACATGTTTACAAAAGCTTATATAAGAACAAACCTTCTGCTGATGATGGCAAAAGAGTTTGAACAAGTTGGGCTTGTCCAACTTCATTTTTATATAAATAACATTGGAATGAATACAGTACAGAACAGCGAAGCTCAAGGGGCTGCTTTTCATTTACCATAGACAGCAACAACACCACAATTGCAGGTCTATAAATGTTATAAAAAATATATGTAATTACCACACTTCCTTTTAAAATTTATAAGGATGATTTTTAATACAAAAAAACCAAATTTACCTGGGTGGTTTAGATGGAGCCATGACTGTCAAAAAGTATTCTTGGTTTGCTAAATTACCCCGGATGATCTCTGCCACAGTATTTATAGTCTCTGTCAATACATCAACTGGAACGCCACTCGCCATTAAAATTCCACAGAGCGCCTCTAGTATTCCACTACTTCTTATGGTTCTTTGACAGGATGATGTGACTTGAGCAGGATTACCAGGCATTACAAGCATACGAATAACCTGCAAAATAAGAGTTTTAGTGTAAGAACAATTTAGAGCTTTCTTCAGGACTTTAAATTTTGAATCAAAATGACAAAAACTTTTAAAGGAACAGTACTTGTAAGCTGCTGAGAATATTGATAACTTTTTGAGAGGACCAGCTGATGTCTTCACTATCACTCGGAAGGGCAAACATTGGAGATATACGCTGGATATAACTTCCTATGGATTAAGAGAATGCCTCAATGATTTTTTTTTTCCAGGTGATAAAACATATTTTAAGTTCTTTACTAGATGTACCTTCTTTAAAAAAATTCTGATTGGATGTGTTATGCTTTAGCAAATTATGGACAATAGCCAAGCAATCTTCAACAACTATACCACCATCTGCATAGCCTTCATCAGCCATTACATCAAACAAACGATCAAATGCATTTTCAAATGCAACTATTTTTTGAATATTGGCATTTCCTTTAGTCAAATGAGTCAGTAGGATGAGAGCCTGAAAAAAAATATATTACTAGTATCTGACAGTGAACATACTGAAACAAACAATGTTTTAAGCAAATTAAAATACTAACATCATTTCTAATGACTTCTCTGCTGTCTCCTAATAGATCCATCAGCTTGGAGACACCCATAGGGCAGACTAAAATTATCTCTTGGAGATCTCGGGGTCTGAGTAAGAAGTACAGTGATGGAAATATGATTATTGTAATCCACAAAAAGAAAAAAAAAAAGGATTACAAAACCATTTTTATTGCAGTCCAATCAATCAATTAGATACTTACCTATTATGAATTAGTGAAGTTAACAGCTTAAGAGCAGGCCAACGCACTTGAAAGTCATATTCCTCTAGGAAACCAAGAACCAAGCCAATATAATCTGTCTGCTTCATAAAAATTTCTGTAAATTGCTCTCCAAGACTTGTCCTAGAGCTTTGATATACATCTGGGTGTTCTGAAAATAAAAGAAAGAAAAGCAGAATAGTTAAAGCACAACCATAATAATTGTTATTACAACACAAATATAAAATAATATTATTTAGAGAGCACATCAACAAAAAAACTCACCTTCCTCTTCAAATACTTCCGCTGACATAACATTGCATAAAGAATCGAGTGCGTATGAAACAATTTCACCATCAGCTCTATCCATTTCTAGCACTTGGCACAGGGCATCCATTCCCTGTGCTCCAACTTCCACTCGATACTGTTTTGATAGGGATTTAAGGGCACGACAAGCATCTCTTCTATCCTCCAATAGAGTAGAATGTTTTACCCTGTCAACTAGACGCTCCACCTCACAAAATAGGAAATCAACTGTCAATGATAATGTTCATTGCACTTGGACTTAAAGACATTTTTTCCCCAAGTACCAAGGCATTATAAGGTTTTATAAACTCTAAACGGCAAATGCAAGGAAATAGAAGTTGGTCTAATTATAGCAGAAGGAAAAGGAAGGTTGACACTTGAAATAAGGTTAGGAACCAACAGCGAAACAGCTGCAGAAAAGTCGAAAAAACCTCCGGTCAGGAATATGATGGATAAAGTTAAAACTAAAAAATTTCTAATATTTATTTCATACTCAGCTAGAGTACCAATAATATTTATCAGGAAGATAATGTAAAATAATGTGCCTCTGACAATAAATTTTGACAAGTATGGTCTTACGGTTTCTGCTCCAGTTGGTGGCGAGCTGCCCTGCAAAGGAGCTCCTAAAACAGATTTCAGGCCGGTTTTAAAATACTCCATGGCGTTCAAATTTAACTGTAAACGCCAATTTAAACCATTACTGAACAGTAAATAAACAAGGGAGAAGAAAGAGACGTGGGCCTTTAATACCAACGCAGCCACAACAAAAGCTCACAATATGATTATACAAAGAAAAGTACGAACGTGTTATCAGACCAGACCATTCCTTTATGATTTTTGCAGGAATATTTTAAGGTACTTTTGGAAGTACGCCTCAAGCTGCTGTATGTACTTTCACGTGATATTGGGGGTGTGAGGGAATGTTGTTGAGCACAAGACTCACAGCCTGGTACCGCAAAATTTGAAAGGTAGTCGCTTTCCGGACAAAATTTGCAAAGAAAGTTTCACTGAGCTAAAACTCATTTTGAAAAAATGATTTGCCCTTTAATTAAACTCGACAAACCCATAGTTCCTCTGCATGTGCGAAACACGACTCAAAACTCAAATCAGGTCATAGGGACACAAATCTCGTCCATCCGTCAGCCACAGTGTCTTCGCAAAGTGTGTTTGTTTTAATCGCTGCAGCTATACATGTAATTATATGTAATGTTTAAATGTATATATA